ATCAATCGTCCGGTATATAACTGAAAAACTGGAAACACATAATTCATGCAAATAACGACAAACAAAAATATCACAGTGTTTAATCAAAATGATGTACTAGATAGACTTCCCACCTGAATACTCTGGATCTGCTACTGAGATGAGTTGTCGCTTATGTGGAAACTCGAGGGCTCGACTCCTCGGAATCTACATGAATTAAGCGATACTCGGATAAATAACTAATTCTGATTTGGTAAATTAAATTTACCAATTGAAGGATTTTCTAGCTTAAGGTTCATGACTTATAGACTTTATGCTCTTTCTTAGATGATGGAACTCTCGACTAGGAATCTTTAAAAATTCTCGAAATTAACTCTTTAAAAATCTATAATTAGCCTCGACTCAAAAATCATCTTAAAGCTCGGGACATTTTAAAAAGGGCTTTTGAAACTATTAAAATTTGGTTCGGGCTTGGAAAAGGAGTTGACCGCAAAGGACGGGACGTGGGGCTTTGTAGGTCGCAGGAGTCTTCTTCGCACGGTAGGGTAGGCAGTAAGGTGTCGCACAGGCTGCTACCACATGGGCCTCGCGGCACACGACGTAGGCGGCAAACGCCGGCTGCCCGCCTGCTTACGGGTGCGCTTGCGTGCTTGCGGCAGTGGCCTGGCAGCATCTCGACTATTGTGACCCGATATCATGCTTCAGTTTCCCCTGACGACTTCCTCAACCCAACGACACATCTTACGACCAACTTTTAAAAATTATTTAGAGTCCACAATACAATTTTTTTTTTCTTTCACTAAAATGGGGCTAAAATAATTCATCAAAGATCCCATTTTTCTCAATATATTTCTAAAGTAGATGACTCCATTTTAAATCAAATCTTAAGGCATATAAACCAAAATTGTCATGCCTTAACAACCCAACAGGAGCTTAAGATACAAAAAAAATAATTGCAGCATGATCAATTTCCTTTCAAAATTAAAAGCTCACCATATGGCAACAGGTTTTGAGTTTTTCTCAATTGCACTAAAGTCACATTAAAACACAAGGAAAAATTCTAGCTTCTCACATGTAGTAACAGAGATAAAAAAATCACACCAATATCTCATCCTTTCTCAAGATTTTCGAAATAAAAATAAAATTCAACAAGGCCATTTTGCATGATAATTTATAACTTGCTCACACCTTCATTCGAAATAAATAAAGAATTTTGCAAGACTTCACAAATGATTTAAGGCCATTAACCTGACTGCTGCTTACAAATGTCCGCGATTTTCAGAGCTTAACTGACAAGAATCCGAGAGTTCAACATCAAACCCTCCTATTCTAAAATTTCATTCTCATTTACAAAATGCTCACCTCATGAATTTAACTCATTAAAGTTTTGTGAACCTTAAGCATGATAACCTTCAAATTAAATCTGAAATTAAAGAGGGAGGTATGGTCTTATACCTCCTTCGGGAATGAAACGGAAACGAAAACTGAAAACGAAGAGTCTCGGACGTCGGGTATCGGCCTCAGCTCTTACGTACAACTGCTGCTCGTCGTTCGAGTGCAAAGAAGAGGCCCGCTGCTGCTCGGAAAATGGACTACGGGGCTGGGGCTGAAAATCCGGCGAAACGGTGAATGGGCTGCTCGAAGGTTTACCGCCCGTCGATCGAACGATGGAGATGGTGAAGTTTCTGTTGTTGCTCGCAGGTTCCGCTGGCCGGAAAAGGGACCAACGAGGCTGCTCGAAAGGGTTGTTTCCCCTCTCAAAGATGGAGGGTAATGGATAAAAAGAAATAATGGGACTCGCTGCTTTGAGAAATTGAGTTGTGGGATGAAGAAAAGAATTCTGATCGCTTAAAGCTTCTGATCGTGTGCGAGAGAAATGGTATTATAGCGTGGAATTATGAGATATTATCTGGAGTGGTTGAAAGAAAGGTTCAAACTTCCAAAATTTTTGGAGTTAAAAGCGTATAGGCTGGGAGCAACGAAAACTAATCTTTAAGGTTAATAAGTATCTGATTAACCCCTTTTATAAATAAATAAATCAAGAACATTTAAATAATGATGGGAAGGCTTGAGAATTGGAATGGCCGAAAATAATAAGGCTCACAAAGTCTAAGGTGTCGAGAGAATAAATCAACGATCCTCAAGACGAATAAAGAAATCGGCTCTCGCTAGTCTAGAAAATTCTAATATTCGGTTAAACTCTGAAATAATTTAAATAGACGAAAGGGTCTAAATAAATTATTTTATCTTAAATGATTAAAATAGACACTCTCGTCTAATTAATCAAATTTATTTGTCGAGCGGAGAAAATAAAATGCAATAAAAATGCATAATATAATAATAATTCGAGATGTCTACTGAAATAAAATCGGGGCATTACATTCTACCCTCCTTAAATGATTTCCGTTCCCGGAAATACAACTCAAAAACTACTAAAAAGAAATAAACTCCAAATACTAATACAAAGAATAAGCTCAAAACATAAACTCTGGATACTTCTTCCGGAGCTCGTCCTCTCTCTCCCAAGTCGCCTCGGCCTTGCCATGGCGGCTCCACTGGACTTTGACGAGCGACACCTCCTGGTTCCTCAACTGATGGACCTTTCGGTCCAGAACGGCTAGCGGGACCTCCTCATAAGACAGATCCTCTCCAACCTGAAGCCCGCCGAAGTCTACTACATGCTCGGGGTCGTACACATATCTCCTCAACATAGAGACGTGGAACACGTTGTGCACTCCCGCGAACTCTGGTGGACGAGCCAATCGATAGGCTAAGTCTCCGACTCGGTTGAGTATCTCGAAGGGTCCCACATAACGAGGCTGCAACTTCCCTCTCTTCCAGAAACGGACTACACATTTCGTTGGTGAGACCTTCAAGAAGACCTTGTCGCGAACCTCGAACTGTTGTTCCCTCCTCTTCTTCCTGGCATAGAATCTCTGTCGTTCTTGGGCTGCCCTGATTCTCACTCGGATCTCATCTACCTGAGCTGCTGTCTTCTTAATAATCTCTGGCCCAAGTACCTTCCTCTCGCCAACCTCATCCCAATACAAGGGTACACGACACTTCCTTCCGTACAAAGCCTCATACGGTGACATGCCGATCGATGCCTGATAACTGTTGTTGTAGGCAAACTCGACTAATGTCAATGAATCCTCTCATGAACCTCCTCGATCAAGAATGCACGCCCTTAGAAGGTCCTCTAATGTCCGGATCGTGCGCTCTGACTGTCCGTCTGTCTGGGGGTGATAGGCTGTACTGAATTTCAACCCTGTCCCCATAGCCTGATGCAAGCTCCTCCAAAACTGCGAGGTGAACCGTGTGTCTCGGTCGGAAACGATCGAAACGGGCACCCCATGGAGTCGGACAATCTCATCTATGTAGAGTTTGGCGAACTTCTCCATAGATATCTTCATATGCACGGGCAGAAAATGGGCACACTTGGTCAAAGTATCGACCACAACCCAAATGGCATCATGCCCCTCTCGAGTCCTCAGCAAGCCCACCACGAAATCCATCGTGACGTCCTCCCACTTCCACATAGGGATCTCAAGCGACTTAGTCAAGCCGGCTGGCTTCTGATGCTCGGCTTTGACCCTTTGACACACTAAACATCTATCCACGTACTTCGCCACATCTCTCTTCAATCCTCTCCACCCAAAATACCTTTTAAGGTCCTGGTACATCTTTGTGCTGCCTGGATGGACGGTATACGAGGCATTGTTTGCCTCCTCGAGAATCCCCCTCCGAATTTCTAACACCTTCGGTACACATAGCCTCTGCTCGAAGACCAATGCTCTTTCAGGTGTCTCTGCGAATCCTCCTATCTTGCCGGCTCGAGACAACTCTCGCATCCGACAAAGGAAACGATCACTCGGCTGAGCGGCTACTATCTTCTCTCGTAGAGTCGGTCCCACAACCAGTGCTGCTAAGTACCACTGGCTCCAGAAGTCGGCTCCACTTCCTCTAACTCTAGCCGCTCGAACTCTCTAACCAACCCCTCCTGCTGGGTGAGGATACAGGCCAACTCGCCACGACCCTTCCGACTAAGGGCATCTGCGACCACATTAGCTTTCCCAGGATGGTAGCTAATCGTGCAATCGTAGTCCTTGACGAGCTCTAGCCACCTCCTTTGCCTCATATTCAACTCCTTCTGTGTGAAGAGATACTTCAGACTCTTGTGGTCCGTGAAAATCTCGCACTTCCCTCCGTAAAGGTAATGCTTCCAAATCTTCAACGCGTGAACCACAGCCGCTAACTCTAGGTCGTGGGTAGGATAGTTTCGTTCATGAGTCTTCAACTGCCTCGAAGCATAAGCCACAACCTTCCCCTGCTGCATTAACACACAACCCAAGCCCATCTTCGAAGCATCGCTGTAGATAGTGAACTCCAAAGTCGGGTCGGGTATGGTCAATACAGGTGCCGTAGTGAGCCTCGTCTTAGACTCCTGGAAGCTCGCCTCACACTGGGGACTCCACACAAATCTGGTTGACTTCCTAGTCAGCTGGGTCAATGGTTGGGCTATTTTCGAGAAGTCCTCTATAAAGCGACGGTAATAGCCAGCTAGTCCCAAAAAACTGCGAATATCACTCGCATTCCTTGAAACCTCCCAGTTACTCACCGCCTCAATCTTGCTCGGATCAACCTCTATCCCCTTAGAAGTGACAATGTGTCCGAGAAAGGCAACTCGGTCCAACCAGAACTCGCACTTCGAAAACTTAGCATACAACCGCTCTCGACGAAGTGTCTCTAGAACTATACGCAGATGCTGCTCGTGCTGCTCCTCGTCTCGAGAATATATCAGAATGTCATCAATAAAGACAATGACAAACCGATCAAGGTAGGGGTGGAACACTCGATTCATGAGGTCCATGAAAACGGCTGGGGCATTGCTCAATCCGAAGGGCATGACCACAAACTCGTAATGGCCATACCGAGTTCGAAATGCTGTCTTAGAAACATCGGACTCCTTAATCTTTAGCTGATGGTAGCCAGACCTCAAATCTATCTTCGAGAATATGCTGGCACCCCTCAACTGATCAAACAGGTCCTCAATCCTGGGCAACGGGTACTTGTTCTTCACAGTGAGTCGGTTGAGCTCCCGGTAGTCGATGCACATCCTCATCGACCCATCCTTATTCTTCACAAAAGGGACCGGTGCTCCCCACGGTGAAACACTCGGTCGCACAAAACCGAGCTTCAACAGCTCCTGAATCTGTGTCTTCAGCTCCTGTAGCTCCTTCGGAGCCATACGGTAAGGTGCCTTCGACACAAGGTCCGCTCCCGGAATCAAGTCAATCGAGAACTCGACCTGTCTGTCTGGTGGTCCTCCCGGTAGCTCGTCTGGAAACACCTCCAGATACTCACGCACAATAGGAACTCCATCTGGAGTCGACTTCTGGGTCTCGCTCAAACAATGTTCACTAGATAACCCTGGCTACCCTCTTTTTTAATGCTCTTCATAGCTCTTAAGGTAGAGATAACCCTTGAAACTGTCCTCGATCTCGCCCCGTAGAAAGTGATGGTTTTGTCTCCTCCAAGATAAAGTGTCACCTTTCGGTCGAGGCAACGGATGTCTGCTCGGTACCTGCTCAGCCAATCCATCCCAAGTATCACGTCGAAATCACGCATCTCGATCACGTAAGCATCGACGGTCAAGGTTCTCCCGCCTATACTAAGTCTCAGACCCTAAACGAGAGAATCAGTAACAATTGACTTTCCCGAGGCCAAGCTAACATCGAGAGCATCAACAACACTAACTCCCTCAATCCCGACTGCCTCAACACAACTCTTGGAGATAAAAGAGTGGGTTGCCCCGGTATCACATAAAGCAAACACAGGCACATCACATATATGAAGCATCCCAGACATAGTACCTTGGTTCGCATCTGCCTCACGCTGGTTCAGGGCAAACACACGGGCTCTCCCTCCTCCTCCCTGGATCTGGGCCTGCTGCTGAAACTGCTGCTGAGGTTGCTGTTGGGGCTGCTGCTGCCCCTGGCCTCTCTCCGGGCAATCAAAAGGCCATGTGTCCTTCCTTCCTGCAGTAGTAGCAAATCCTCTGACTAGCTAAGCACTGTCCCCCGTGAGTCCGGCCACAGTTGTCACAAGGTGGCCGAGCTCTCGGAGTCTGCTGTGCTGGCTGACGGTCACCTCGTCCACCATTTCCTCCCTTCTTTTTCTGCTGGTTCTTCTTCTTGCCTTCAAACTTTCTCTTACCACCACTACCAGACAGCTGGGTAGAAGACTGCTGATAAACGACTGGCTGCACTTGGACTTGCTGAAACGAGGGTGGCTGCACAGAAACTGGCTGAATCATCCTGGGCTGAGCCACTGTCTGCTGAGCTGTGTCTAACTCCAGACGCTGACTAGCCGCTATCTGCTGAGCTCTCAGAATGGTCTCTGCATAGGTCAGAGACCCATGGCTACTCAGCACAAAGCGAAGGTCCCTCTGCAGCCCGTTCAGGAAACGACGAGACTTCTTAAAGTCAGTGTCCACCATGTGCGGGGCAAAGTGGCTCAGTCTTGTAAATTCACGCTCATACTCCTCTACGGATAGGTTTCCCTGCTGCAGGGCATAGAACTGTCTCTCCATCTGCTCCCGGAAATGATAAGGGTAGTACCTCTCCGAAATAAGGAGCTTCATCTGCTCCCAGGTCATAGCATCTCTCTCGGCTGTAGTCTTAAGGCGCCAAACATCTGACCACCATCTACCCGCATCCCCTATCATCTGGAAGCGGGCACAGACAATCTTCTCCTGGTCTGAGTAGTTAAGGACCTCAAAGATCCTCTCGAGGTTCATGAACCAATCATCAACTGCTTGTGGCCCGTCTGCCCCGGTGAAAGTTGGCGGGGACAGAACACGAAACTGACCCATGATCTGAACATTGTTTTGCCCCTGAGTAGGAGGGGGTTGCTGGAAGACAGGGGGATGCTGATGAGGTGGGGGCTGCTGAAAGATCGGTAGCTGCTGCTGATTAAGAGGGTCTGGCTGCTGGTCGCCGCCCCTACCTCCTCGGCCT